AAGGCATAAAATAATAACCTGTGTCTGGACATTATTTACCATGATTAGAATGCAAACTACAGATTACTTAGTCATAATCATTTAATTCATGTGCTGTTGCCAATTGGGGTTTTACTGTACAATTTTCTATCTTGAACATTTTTTAAAAGTTTAGTCAGAAACAATCCTTTCTTCCGTTTAGCATAATAGGCTGAAATAAATACCATTTACTCTATTAAATGACAAAATAATCCAATTTTAGATAAGGGAACAGCCGCATTCTTTAAAATAAGGGGTTTATAATATTTGATCCTGATTCTCAATTTTTTAAGAAAAAAATTGTATTGCCAGGTATAAGGGAGAAAACAATTATTTTGAAAAGTTAGTAAAAAAATTGTTGAAAAAATAATCTGCTTTTCCGTGATAAAAATGTTGTGAAACAAGTGAAAAAATATAGAACCCCCTTTATATAGCTTATATGATAAATTACTTACAAAGCAACTTGTTTTTTTCATCATCTTACAATTCATTTGCTTCTTACTTCATGCAATTACTGTAACATTTATGTTGTAACTGGACATAGATTTCTAATGTTTATATCTAGATTAATTAGTGAGTTTTATTTCACATTAAAAATGAGCCGTAGTGAGTGTTTATACCTAAACGCTTAAGAAAAGAATATCCAACTTCAATGTGATCGGTAAAATAGGATATAATTCCTAAAAATATTTGCAGAAAATAACATTTTTGACGATATATAAGTCAGATAAAGCATATTTTAAGGTTTTTCTTGTCAAATAACATACCTTTTGGTGTCAGGATTGCCCAAAGAAAGACCTCCCTATGGCCAGTCTTTCATTTGATGAATCCTGACACCCTTTGGTGTGTTATAGTATACAACAAGAAAAACCTAAAAATATGCTTTATTTATAACATAAATGTTTGATGAAGGAAGCACCACTATCAAGATTATTCCTAGCTAAACATTTTTTACCCCCCAAGGGTGACTGGGGAATAGAAATATGGTCACCATTGGTCTTTCTCCGACCGGCAGTAAAATCCTCGCTAAAGTGGGGCGTCCATTTGGCTGTGCAGGATGTACAAGTTCGCAGTCACATCCAGTCAGAATGGGGATGTTAAATCTGATGCCTCGTGTAAAGAGAGTGCCACGTTCTTTGCACGTTAAGAACCCTTGCAACAACTCTTTGAGGGGTCTGTAGGTGGCCTGTTGCAAAGCTAAATTTCTGTCCTTATCCAATATACCCTCATTTTCCCGTGGCATTCCAAATTTCCCCGACCTTCATCCCGGACGGCCGCTATTACAGGACCTACCTATTGTTTTTATTGTTAACTTGTTCTCGTCCTGAACATGCATGAAATATTTGCCACTGGACGTTCAGCAACCAACAATCAATCAATCAATAAACAGTTTTTAATATATATATCAGACAATAATTCATACAGGTGCTAGTAAAGAGGTGTTACTCCCAGTAATGTAGTACATATGTAGTTTCGAAGACTGGATCCGCAATGGAATTGACTACCAAACAAAATGTTCAAAGTGCAAAACAAATTCACATTTTAACAAAATATCAAAAAAGTCTTGGTAAAGTCCATATTAGCTGCGGAACTGTTGCTCTAACTAGGTTTTTATGATATTTTTTGACAATTTGCATACCATATGGTATTTTTTGCCAATTTGCGGACCATTTGGTATTATTCGACAATTTATGGTCAGCAAATTAATATGGGCGGGAAATGGTCAAAAAATATCATAAGGGCCTAAGAGTTAGGGCTATGGTTCTGCAGCTAAGTCCTTATAGAATAGAATTTTTTACTCGCCAAATTAGGGCAGAGGAGGGCATATAGCACATAAACTATATCATTATAAACAATAACATATATAGGCAATGCAATCAAGACAATACACATGCAAAAAAAAAAAAGAGACACACACACAAATATTATTATAACAACAACATATTATAATTCAATTAATATTATGTTCACATTGACTCAAGTGCACCAGGCAAGTGTATTTTGACCATTAAATAAACAGATGGCTTAAGTAGCTTGTGTCTTATGGAGAAATCCCTATATATAAAAAAATAAAAAAACAACACAGAAAATACCCACACATTTAATGATGAGGTATACTGCAAATAACATTGATAAAGGATATTATGACTAATCTGCAGTAAGCACCAAGAGTTGATGCTTAAAAGGAAATGCCTACTTGTACTGAATGCAGATGAGTCTAATTCCTAAATATTTAATAAAAAAAAAAAAAAATTTTTAGATAATAGATTCTGTGTCTAGCCAGCAATGACCATCAAGGGACGATGCCACAGAATATACAATTCTTCTTATGCTCAGTGCAGGCTTAACAGAGTATCCAAACTCATATCAAAGATTCAAATGAGAGTTAGTCATTGCAGATTATGTTTTCCTTTAATTATTAGTACATGTATCTTTCATTTATAAAATGCAAATAGGAAAGTGGGATCTTCATTATTCTTAATCCAAATATTTTTGTTAGTATCTAAGTATGTGAAGTTTGGACATGATTTTAATATACTTTGCATCAATTCCTCTCTTCTTATATATAAATGAGTGTCACATTTAAATATAAAATGAACTTCATCTTCAACCTCACTTGAGGTGCACCTGAGACAAATTTGGTTTTGTCGAAGAGTACCCTGGTATCTGCCAGATTCAATTTGCAATTTGTGAGCAGATATTCTAATTTTAGTAATACATTTCCTTTGCTCAAAAAATCATATTATCAAAACCAAAATCAAACTTGAATGTTACATAAGTCCGTAGTTTACCATCTTTATGTATATCTAGCTAGTTTTTTTTCCACAAGGCAGTATAGTACCCCTTAACAATCTGACCACAGTGCAATTTAAATGTTGAATATATTGCTGGTACATTGTATATGCTTTTCTTTACCAGAATTTTTTTTCTTTTAAAACATTAATTGATCCATACCAAGAAAGCTTTTTAGTTTCAAATAGCTTTTTAGAACAATCATATGCAGCTTTTATCAAGGGAAATGAGGAACCTATGTTTTCTAAACGATGCTAATGTCCTAAAACATGTTTAACTATGTCATAATGCAGTGGAAAACGTCCTAATTCAGCCAAAACTGCAAAATTTGTACTTTTTCTATGAACACCCAAAATATGCTGCCAGAATGTAATATGAAGTTTTTCACAAAATATCCTACTAGAGTAAATTGTATCCACCGATATGGTTCCTTTTCTTAAACATGCAGTAAAGGGATTAAAATATCTCCAAATTTCACACCCATATAAAAGTATGGGCTTTATTGTATATTCGAACACATGAATTGCATTTTTAATAGTAGGATTATACACTTCAAAATCATTACATAGTTTGAATTACGCCTTTAAAGCTCTATGATACCAATCATTCTGAGCAAATGAAAAAAAACATGATGCATTAAACTCATACCTGTCAACCTATGAAAATGAAAATGCAGGTCATGACCTGCATTGAAGAAGAAATCTCAGGTCATAATGCATACGAACTTTTTTCCAACTGAATTTAAGTATTTAGGGGACATTTCTTTATATTTTGAATCGAACAGTTTCTAAAATATGTTCACATGGTGAAGTACTAACTGAAAATAATTTAAAACTTTTATTTAATTTTTTCATTGCATAACAAGCCATTGAAATATTCAAAATGTGTTACACATTGTTATTTCTAGCCAAGCCATACCCCCTCTGCTTGTTTCATTCATAGTTTTCTATCAAATCTCAAGCTACTTGATTTTTTTTTTTTTTTAGTTTTTTATCCCCAGTATGTATCATAATGTACACCTCCTCAAAGATTGTTGATATTGGAATATAATAAAATTATTAAAAGTATTTAAAGGCAGTAGAGATAAAAAAAATTAGTTTAACCCAAACCCTAACCCTAACCCTAACCCAAACCCTAACCCTAACTCAAACCCTGACCCTAACCCAAACCCTGTCCCTAACCCTAACCCTAACTCAAACCTTTTAATTGTTCTAAGGTAGAAAAAATAAAAGAAAGTTAATCATGTTAATTATAAATATTCTGATATGTATTTGCATTCAATTTGTTTAGATTTAATCTTTTTACAAAAAAATATCCTAAAACTAAGGAGTATATTGTGAAAGGTGACAAAAAAGTGGAAGTAACTCAAATTTATTGTCAAACAACTTTGAAATAGACAAATTATCTATGACCTTAAGCTAAGGTAATTGGTGTTAACAGTGTGTTTGACACCAAAGCTGTCAAGTAAAGCCATGCACTTAATGGGTAACTTAATTTGACAGTTAACACAGATAGTTGAACTTCCTGTCCAGGAAGAATTACGAATTTGCCTGTATTTCAAAGGAAAATCACTATGAAATCAGTCTAAAGGCTCAAGAATCCGGGTGAAAATGGGTCTTTTTTCTAATACCCAGGTTATTTAACTACCCGTCTGGTATTTAAAAAATCCCGGGTATGGGGTGAAATTCTCAGGTGTGACCCGCAGGATACTCGTCAGTTGACAGGTATGTAAACTGGATACCCAAATATTTATAATTAGATACACACTCCCATGTATGTCCAGAAATGTGTCTTAAAATCAATGTGTCAGAATTTGTAACTGCTACATGAGAATAGTTACACTGGTGACAACAGTTACATTCACAATTTTAAGTTTATTTCATATATATGTGACATTCACGATTTTAAGTTTATTTCATATATATATATCGTATTCTGTGCGTGTATTAGAAAGTGTATATATTAACTTGATTTGACCCTTTACGGAGTGAAAAAAACTTTACCGTGTATAAGGATATAAATGTTTTACTTGGATTTATCCTTGGTGTTCCTTATAAAGAAGCTCATACAGAGAGAAGTGAGGTACAGAGTTTGGTTCATTTTTTGTTTACAACCATTTTTTTCAGGATTACAATGGTTATGCTACACTATAGTAACACTTTGTTAATTTAATAGAATCTACAAATTACATCATTTTTGTCGTCAAATATTCATTTCCACTTTACTTGTTTAGGTTTGCACAGTGCCAACCCAGGCCGGTTTTCGTGGTCCAGCGAAACGTCAAATATGACCGGAAGTGTGAAATACGTCATCAAATGTTGTGGAAATTTTCAAGATGGCAGCCTCCATTGGATTCAACTTTCTGGGAGCTGCGGAAAAATTTACAGTAACTCCATTAAAATTAGATGACTTATCAATCTAATGTTAAGTTAAGGTTGCATTAAACCAGCCAGACACTTTTTTAGATTTTCATTTTTTTTTAAATCTCATAACAGCAATAATCAAAAACACACACATTTCATCCTAATTTTTTCTTGTTGGAACTTGGAGTTGCTCGAACATTTGTTTCTATAAATATCTAAATAAATGAAAAAATTTCGATGAACTATATATTTGAATATTCGTCAGAGGCAAAATTTTGGATTGTCCACCTTTGCTATTATTTCAAAAATCTAAGATTAATATGAGGCAGGCGTTACCTGTGAAAGAGGACGAAGTCTGTATGAATTTTTTTTTTTAATTCAAACATATTTTAACTTCAAGATCTGTTCAAAAAAGAAACGGAAATACCCTTACGTTTCCGATTTCGGTTCTGTTGTTCGGAATTTTAGTTGTGACGTTATTTATGTTATGACGTCATATTCAATGTAAACAAAGAAACGCTATCAGGTAACGTTTTTTCATATCAAGCCATTCAAGGAATTATTAAAAATGGAATTGGTATTGCGTTCCTTCCTATATCATGTATATTTTACTAGACTGATAAATATATATTTTACTCAAGGACTCATGCAAACGAGACCGGAAAAAGGAAGTAGATTTCTGCGCAAATGCGGGAAAATAAAAAAGTCTGAAAATAAAAAAGTTAAAAAAAAGTTAACGATTTTGAGTTCATTAGTAGAATGAAAATTTCGGGAAATTTTCCAGATTTTTTTTTTTTTTTTTTTTTTTTTATTGATTTTTCTACTGTTATAGGGGACTTTGTCCCCTTACTAATCTCAGATAAAAATCATTTATATTTATGAACACAATGATGAACTACAAGTCGAATATATACAGGGCTGCCAAGTCTCAAACTAATTAATCACACATTTTCATGCATATTTGGCGGCATTTTCCTTTGATCTATTGTTTTTTCTCTTTGATCTTTACAATTTTGGCCAAATCTCAAGCATTTGCTTCATGAAAACATGGCAGTACTGTGTATATACATTTTATCAATTTTAAATATTTTTTTTACTTGGGCCAGATCAATTAGGACAAGAATGACTTGGGGCAGGATCCACATGAAAGTGTATAATTCTGACTTTTACATTATCTTAAATAGTTTTCCATTTTTTGATTTGCCATCTTGGTTTCTATGAGGATCCTTTATTTACTTACATTTTTTAATCTCATAATATTTGTTTCATTGATGTGATATAGTTTCCCACACTTTATAGTAGTCTATCGTCAGTAAAGAATATTTCTCTGAACTTACCTTGCAATTGAGCAAAAGTTCTGAGTGGTGTAAAAATATGTAAATAAACTTAATTGTGAAACTCCACATCAACACTTTTAATGAAAACAATGATTCCGCCATTGAAAATCATCTATGATAATGTGAAGGTCAGGATTATACAGTGCAATCACAGTACTGTAAAAGGTAGGACAGAAGTGGTAATGTGTGAATTTTTTAAGTTCCATCAAGTTAAAATGTCATCTTGAATGAACGTGATTGATAGTTTAAAAATATTTGACAAAAAATTGCTACCTATTTTTGATACATGACAGCGAATATAGATGTGCATATTCAGGCAGTGTATGTGCCATAATAAATTTGTGTTATTGGCATCAACAATTTGTTAAAGTTTATGATTAGATCAGTTCAAGAGGAACCACTAAAGGTAGGTCAATGATATTCATGGCTCAAACTACTGGGCATCTGTGGCAAAGAAATCGCTTTCCCAACAGTCACTTTGTCATCAGCAATTTTCCATTTTTACCAAGTTGTTGAAATGGCAATTTTTCGTTTATCAGTAAAGAAATTCAAAGACCTAAAGAATTTATTTAGAAAACATGGTGATTGCATCGATTTGTAGATAGGTCATACGCTATTTCAAAGAAACATCTTTTTATGAAGTACTTTCACTTCTAGCACTTGTTATTCAGATAAATACTAACTTCTTTTGTATGAGGCTTGGAAGCTGGGGAAGGGCAAGATAAACACACCCTTCAACTTTTGTTGCAAAAAGCAGTTTGATTTTCAGCAAAATAAATTTAAGTTAATTTTTCAACCATTAATTGCATTAAAAACATCATATTCCTTTCCAAATCTCTTATCAAACATTGTTTTAAGGTGAATTTTTTTTAATCCGCCATTGAAATATTTAAACAAATTACAAACCAACTGTGAAGGAAACCTGTATTCTAACGATAATAACTACAGACACACGAATGGCACAGCTGACAGAAGAATATTGCTCAAAATAGTGAAATTTACCCATTCCATAAGCATAAACAGATATTTAGTTATTTCGATCCCCTTAGTTAAATGTATAGATTTCAATGCAATTGTACTGTTTCCATTTATGATTTGAGTTGCTTAAATTTGTTAAATTTGTATGTTTATAATGAGAAACAATGAATATCACCAACAATAAAGTTTTCTTCATTGGATTTTAATTGATAAATAGTAATTAGTTTTTCCTTTTATAGAAATGAATTTGTAAAAAAATTTTAACTGGTAAAAACCAAACATTATAGCAATGCGAGTGAAGGAGCACTTCTCTTTTAAGTCTCACCTCTTCTCTCTATCAGTTTCAAAAAGAGAAGTAACTTCTCCCTATTATTCTGAAGTAGTGTAAGCCCTGGATATTTGATATGCAGTTATACATAGTTAACAAGCTAAAAAGTTTGTGATTGAATTTATTTATGAGGAACCACTTATATGTTAAGTAAATGATATTTGATATGCATTTGTATTGGCATTACAATTAACAATACAATAAGCTTTATTTATATTGTAATGCCATTACAGCAACATATCAAATATCATTTGCTAAACATAAGTGGTTCCTCTTATTGTTTTTTCTCAATTCCACACATTTTAATTGGCCATGCACCTTCAGTCATGGTTCATTGACTTTGAATGTTTTTTTTTCAATGCTTGCATGTTAAAGTTTTGCCATTTTAATTTTTATCCTTGTCCGTCTGTACGTACGTACGTACATCCCAAAAATTGGTTTCCGTTCTCTAACTTGAGTTTGCCTCAACCAAATGTTATGAAACTTATACACAATGTTTATTACCACAAAACACAGATCAAGTTTGAAATTTGGTGGCCTCACTTTAACCGTTTTTGGGGTTATGCCCCTTTATAAATGGAAAGATTGCAAAATGTTTAGTTTCCATTCTGTAACTTAAGTTTGTCCCAACCAAACATTATGAAACCTATACACAATATTCATTACCACAAAACTAAGATCAAGTACACATTTTTTGTTTCCGTATTCTAACTGTTGTTTACCTCAACCAAATGTTATGAAACTTATACACAATGCTTATTACTACATAATACAGATTAAGTACGAAATTTGGTGGGGACACTTTTACCATTCTTGAGTTATGTCCCTTTATAAACATAAATATTGCTGAATTTTTCGTTTCCGTTCTCTAACTTTAGTTTGTCTCAACCAAATGTTATAAAACTTATACACAACCGTTCTAGAGTTATGCGTGTTTACAAATAGAAAAATTGCTGAATTTTTAGTTTCTGTTCTCTTCTTAAGTTAGCCTCAACCAAATGTTATGAGACTTACACACAATGCTTATTACCACAAAACTCAGATCAAGTTCAAATTTGGGTAGCGTCACTTTTACAGTTCTTCAGTTATGTCCCTTTATAACTATATGATATGCAAGCGGGGGCATCATCTGTGTCCACATGTGGACACTATCCACATTTATCTATTTAAATTTCAAACAGGATACACATATCTCTGTACCAACAGGTTAGTACAGAGTTATAGTAAATTATGTCCACTCAAAATTTCAATCAAACAGTATTGATAAGTATTTTCCAGTATTTACCTCGAGCTGGTCAATTCTCTTTTATGGAAAGATGTTATTTACATACAACATTTTCAGTAGAGGGTAGAATAAACTATCGATTGAATTAAATATGATTTGGTTCATAAAAACATAACAGGCATATTAGAAGTAGGGTACTGTACTGTGAAAATACTTTTGTTCGTGGGGTACCAATTTTCGTGGTTTTCGTGGTTTTCATGAAAAGATCCCCATGTAGGTTTGACTACATGGATACGGGCATACAATGAAGAGAATACCTCTTTGAGAATACATCAAATAACATCAAACACACTATGAACCATAGATGATATTTCAGACAGGATTTTTAACCATTTAATCTTCAAAAATCCTAAACTTTTTAATTCTCACGAAAATTATTTTTGAACGATGAATAAAAGTACTTTCACAGTATATCAAAATCAAAAGTAGCAGTCTTGTTTTCATATACATGTACATGTATGACTATGTTGATTTTTTTACTACTTATTTATTTCAGAATGCTTTGAGAGAATCTCTGTTGCAAAAGTCCAATGAGGAGTGTATTACAGTATATAAATCATACAATGGAAGGTTGGTATAAAAGAGACAGAAAAGAGCATATCGCTTCTTTATTTGTTTAAACCATGTTCCAAAGACAATAACATGTTGAGTGCAATATTTTTCAGTTAGTATTATGTATGTTCCAAACCATATAAGTATTTGGACCATTGCATAAAATGCATGAAAAACAGTTTGTTGTGTCAAGGCCATACTATGGCGAGGCTTTACTCGTCATGGCTCATTAATTTAAACAAACTACTAACCAAAATACCCAAAAACTACATGTTACATGAACATTTATTAATTATAATTTGAAAGTTAAAAATCCTATAATTATTGATGACTGTCAGTTTAACAGTTTTTCATTATACAACCGCAATAATACTCTCTGAAATTATACCACAAGTTTCCATACCACAAAGGGATGGTTAGGATTTGCTTTGGGGGGTTATGGCTCAAACCGTTTAGGAAT